ATTAAACTATTTCTATTTGAAGCTAGCTGGAGGGATATGTAGCAGTCCAAATTTGGATGATTCTGTCTCACCCATTATGTAATAGTTGAGACATACATACATGAAAGACATCAGCCGTACACAAGGTGTTTACCCAGCAGAAAAGAGGGTAAGGGAGAGGAGTTAGACAGTAGGAAAGGTAGGATCCCTCTGAACAGCATACATATGACTACTGTACCCTCTATGTTTGACGTTGGCATGCAGTTTTTAGGCTGCAAAGCCTTAGTCTCCAAAAGGGTCTAAAACAGTGTTTCTCAATGGGGGTGTTTTTCCATGTTGAGGGGGCGATTAGTAACAATTTATATTTGGGGCAAAAAACAATTTTCTGGGCGATATAGTAAAACATATTAAGAATAATTAGACATTTTATTTGTTATATCGTACAATAATTAAACAAATAACATTATACTAGTCTATTCAATGCAGTATGAATTTGTTAGTCTTGGCCCTCGGCATCAGAATTTTGAAGTAAAGAGGGCGATACTATGTAATGGTTTTATTGAAGGGGGCGATGATTCATTAGAGGTTGAGAAACACTGGTCTAAAAAAACCTGAGTGAGGTGAACACCAATAATTGAATGCCGCCACAAATAGCTAAGTGGCTGTTAGTAAGAAGACTTATCTACTTAATATTAATAAAACTGAACGCAAGCACAAATCTTAATACTATTAACAGCTAGACAGTGTGAAAACAAATAAACACAACGACAAACTAGATGAGACAAACGAGTAAGATTCCAATTTGTTTTTAAACATCAACTTACTCACTAATTAAACTAACCTACCATAACCTAGGACAAACCTAACCAGAAGACCAAAGCTAACAACCCTAATCTATTTAACCTTACCTATCATAACCTAACCGGAAACCAAGCTGAGTCCCTAATCTAACTTACAACTAGGACTAACTTAAACTAGCCAATTTAGATGGGAAATAAGAATTAAAACACTAAGTTGAAAGGCAGCTATATATCAACAGTTGAAACAAAGCAAGGGAAAGCTAACTGCTATCCTTGCCCCTGGAGTGAGTGCTCTCAAGAGCCCAACTAAGGGATATGAATATGAGGAGATGATGGAACATTGTACGCATGTGAATGAGTTGGTGCGGGTGCAAGATCAGTTGTACCCTTCAAGAATAGCAGCTGTCATTAACCTTTCAGCAGTGGGATAGTCAGGTATAGTGCTATCCCAAAGTAGTGGAGAATAAACGTGGGAAATTTTTAAAGTATTTTTCCATGCATTTTTTCTCATTAACTGTCTACAAAATTTTTTTCCAAAACGGTATGTCTAGTAAAGAAAAGTTTTTTTTAATTGTTACATAATTCATTTTTTTATGTGAATTTTTTTCACGGTAATTTTTGGCAATACCTTCAAAAGAATTTAACGGATATATCTGTCCCTCACCACTGCCACACGATCGCCCTGGATGGATATATCCATCCCTCACTGTTGAGTGGTTAAACTATCCCTAATGTGACTGTACAGTACCTATTGCAGCGAAAAAAATAAGTGAAGTGGTGTTTGGTCCTCCTGAATACCACAATTGCATTGTGGATTGTCCCCAAGGTTAAATGGTTAAATCTATGGAAGTATTGCTTAAAGTTTCCGTGTCCTGCAAGTAGCTGAGTGAGGGTTTAACTAGAGTAAAAGTAACAAAGAATCGCAGTAGTGTCAACCTTGAGAATGAAAGTGTAGGTGAGCCTACCAGTGGTGTCATGGTCCCAGCTGTCTTGCCAGAGAATGAAGATTTGCTTCTTGATGTGATTGTTGATGTACGAGGTAAGAATTTAACTGAAAGTACTAGTGACTGAAGACTTTTCAGCTTGTTTGGCAAGATGAAGTTAAGTCTTGTAAAGAATAACACCTAAATATTTAATTTCCATTGTTTGCTTTATTCTGTGAGTATCTATTTGAAGGGTAAGCTTTTTGATGAGTGGCGTGTTCCTACCAACTATCATGCCTTTGCATTTGTCTGTGTTAATGGGTTGCCTATGCTTAACATTCCACTGGTGAATGTCATTGAGAATGTTGTTGCATATGTCATGTACGCATTCACTGATCCTGTATGAAGAAAGGATAATTGTGTCATCTGCACAGCTCTTTATGTGGCAGCCAGGAGACAGGGTGTCATTTAAGTGCAGGAGAGAGTTATAGGCTATGCTCCAGAGACCAGGACCAGACCTGGTTCCCTGAGGACAGCCCTGAGTGATGGGTATGATTACGTTATTTTGTGTTGTATAAATACCTGCACTCCTGAAGTTTGTAAAGATTTTGAGGGCAGTGATGAGTGTGTAATGTGTACAAGATAGAAGGCCAGCAAGCGTGATCAATAGGCACCTCTAAAGTCAATAGTAATTATTGCCATATGCTGATTATTATGTTTAGCCTGGTGGATGGCATCTACAGTACTTTTCTTTGTTTTTCGAGAAGCCAAACTGATTCTGATGCAGGACTCTACGCTTGCATAAATGCCAAGTGATCCTAATAGTTGAGACAGAATCACAAGAACTGAATTGGATTTAAATGGGTAATTCTTAACAGAAATTCAATATGAGAAATATTAAAATGTTCCCTGATTATGCATGTAACTTTATTAATATAAATGACAAAAAAATATTGTGCCTCAAACTTTTTCCTGGTTCTAAAAACTCACAGAAAAATCATTCTATTGCAAGCTTTTCAAAACTTCTGGCAGTTTTTATTTGATCTCCCCTTGTCAGAGTTTTTACCTATCAGAGTGTTCTTTAATTTTGAGAAAAGGAAAACATTTGAGGCTAAATCTGGAGAATAGGGTGGCTGAGAAAGTACGGGAGTGTTATTTTTAGCCAGAAACAGAAAGAACCAAGTGGGCTATAATGGAGATGGAGAAATCATGTGACTACACCAATTGGTTTACGATTTACAAGATTGCAAAATGGACAGTTGCATTTTTTGGTTGA